CCTCCCCCCCAAAACATCTCCGAATACTAACTCCCTCGGCCAAACCCCAGCAAAAACCTCACCCTCGCCCTCCAAACCCTCCAAACCCACACCGCCCCCACCAACCCGGACGCCACCTCGACTGCCAGCAGCAACCCCACCACCACCAACCCGCAGGACCCTCCCCTGGGGAGCGTGCAACTCCCGCCGGAGATTATCGATTACGTGGACGCGGCGCGCAACCCGGACATCTACACGCGCGAGTTCGTGGAGCTGGTGCAGCGCGGCAACCAGGACCTCAAGGGGAAGAAGGAGGCTTTCCGCGGGTTCCGGGACGTGCTGGCGCGGGAGATCCGCGGCGCCATGCCCGAGTGTCGCGGGGAGGTGAGGCGGGTGTTGGAGATGACGGGGGGGGAGGATTGATTTTTTGGGGGGGGGCATCAATAGGGAAGCTGGGGGGGCGTTGTTTTTCTTGTTGGTTTTAAAGGGGGAAAGAGGATTTTTGTTGTATCGGTTGCGAGCTTGGGTTTTTGAATGTGGATGGCGTTGCTGGGGGGGTATATGGTTTATGTCATGGTGTTTCAGAGTTCGGGAGTTTTGGTTTTTGCAATGGATGGTGGGGGGGGGGGGGAGAATAAACTACCGATTAATCAATTAGGTGAAGCAGGCAGTGCTGGGGCTGGAATGATACCACTCATAATCCATCTGAACCAAAAATAACCCTTACGTATCCGAAAGGTGAATGGTGAATGACATTTCCAGGTCCACGTGTTGCCGGCGGACGCAGGGGATGATCGTATCGCGATCGGAGACACAGAGCTGGGAATGATATCAGTTACTAGGTAGGTAAATTATGAGTACCAATTAATAACCAGTAACTAATTTATTAGTTACTCTGCCAATCGAGGGAGTGACGAGTCGAGTGGAGCTGTCTTTTCCCCGCGTTTGTTTGTCGGTCAATCCGGGTCTAGTAAAGGATGACTGCATAGGTTAGTCCTTAGTTAGTATCTTCTCGTGACTCGCTGCCTGTTCATCCTCTCCTCTCCTCTCCTCTCCTCTCCTCTCGTACTCTTACTCTTACTCTTTCTTCTCTCTGCTCTCGCACACACTCTCTTCTCTTCCCTCTTCCACTGCCTCCTTCTCGCTTCCTCTTACCCTTTCCTCTCCTCTCCTCTCCTCTCCTCCTCTCCTCCTCTCCTCTCCGCTCCTCTCTATACTTCCTCCCCTCCACCACTAGCTCCATACTTTACTCCCACTACATTACACCACACTATACTACTTCCATCCATTTCAACCCAACTACCCAACCACTCTTGACTCAACCCCACCCATTCAAAACCCCCCATCTCCCCATCCAACGATGAAACCATGATCACCGGCCCGACCACCTCCCCCGGCAATGGCGTCGTCGGGGGCTACACCGGCCACAGTATGGCCCTCCGCATCGCCATTGCAACCCTGGCCGCCATCAGCTGGTACAATGCCGTCGAGCTGGTCATCCTCGTCTTCGTGACCTTCGCCCAGTTCCGGGGCCCCTACTTCTGGTCGCTGCTGATCTCCTCGCTGGGGCTCCTCCCCTACTCCACCGGCTTCCTCCTCAAATACTTCGACCTGGCGCCCGCCGCCCTGTCTGTCACCCTGATCACCATCGGCTGGTACACCATGGTGACGGGCCAGTCGGTGGTGCTGTACTCGCGGCTGCACCTGGTGCTGCCCAACCCGCGCATCCTGCGCCAGGTGCGGTACATGATCACCATCGACGCGTGCCTGCTGCACCTGCCGACCACCGTGCTCACGTACGGCTCGAACCTGGCCCCGCGCAAGGCCGCCTTCATCGCCGGCTACAACATCATGGAGAAGATCCAGATGACCTGCTTCTGCCTGCAGGAGTTCATCCTGTCGGCGTTGTACATCTGGGAGACGGTGCGCATGCTGCGCCTCGACCCGGACCGCGGCAAGCGCAAGATCATGTACCAGCTGGTCGCCATCAACCTGATCATCATCTTTTTAGATCTGGGGCTGCTGGTCATCGAGTACCGCGACCTCTACATCATGGAGACCATGATCAAGGGCGTCATCTACAGCGTCAAGCTGAAGCTCGAGTTCGCCGTCCTCGGCAAGCTCGTCCTGCTGGTTCGCGGTCACCACGTCTGGAAGTGCGACTCCGCCCTCGCCGTCAGCAGTCCGCCGCCGCCGCCGACCGCCGTCGACGAGCAGCAGCCACCAACAATCACCACCGGCCGCGGCGGGGCGACGATACCGGAGTACCCGGATTTCGTCGACGCCACCCGCGTCACCTCGGACCTGACGCACCCGGGCACGCACGCGCCCATCGCGACCCGCCGCCGGTCGCACCCCTGGATGGACAGCGAGGACGTCTCGATCGCTATGTTCGAGCACGCCACCTGCACGACCACGCGCAGCAGCACAACGCGGCGGAGTCTCAGCGGCCGCCGCCTCGACCATCCGCGCACGGGCCACTCGGACGGCTCGCACGTCTCGCAGTCGTGGAGCGGCGAGACGCAGACCAACCACTCGTTCCTGTCGGCTACGGGTCAGGAGCGAGAATTGAGTCCGGCCGACTTTACAGGGAACTGGGGGAAGCCCCAGGGCAGTTTTTAGTCGGTGCTTATCCGCTGAATAGCTTTATGATTGAATGAGTTATGAGGTATGCGGCGCTGTCTGATGTTTTGGGGGCAAAGCCCGTCTAGTATATTGGGTAGTAATTCATGCACATATGGAGTCTGTACTTTACTTCTAGTCAGGAATAAGCAAGCCGGAAGCTATCTCACAGTAAACATGACGTATGCAGAATTCTATAGCGTTGTGAGTATCACGGGATGGATGCGAAGTACGGACGGAGTAAGAGTATGCTCCATAAGGTACGGGCCCCAGTCCGAGTCCCGGAAAGTCCAAAAGTGGAACCCGTGAACCACTGGCCCCGGGAAATGCGGACTGCGGACTGTTGGATTGTGGACACTGGAATGCGCTTACGGCTGAGCCCGAACCCGCCCCGACCATCTCCTGGACCATGGTACGTAGCCCATCATCCACCCAGGGAGGTCACTTTATTTCAGGTCCGTACCGCACCTGAATCTCCATTTCTCCCACACAGCCAGACAAACACCGGGGTAGGGTACTGTACTGTACTGTACTGTCCTACCCTCCCCTCACACTAACTTATATGCCATTGCAAAGCTAATGCATTAGATAGGTAACTTCCAGTACGGTACAGTACGTAACTTAAGTCCAGTAAGCCAGTTCGCAGGATCTCAGCTGCTTCAATCCGGTTCGATTCGATCCGATTTAGCCGAGTTTTACTGTGCGTACTCGGTAGGTACTAATAGTAGTAGTGGATTGTAAGTTACTACTACCCAGTAGCTAGTAGGTAGGTAGGGTAAGCAACCCGCCCAATCGGATGGTAGTTGTTGGTGGTTGGTTGCCTTGTCCGGCCTGCTTGCCCTGCGGTCCCGGGGGGAGGAGGGTAGCCTACGTTGTCAGGGTCTGCGTAGTGCGCACATTCTTGAGTGTACAGTACTTTCTTGTTGGGGTGGGGGTGGACTCTACTATATGTACTATACTGTACTGTACTGTACATGTTCAGTCAGGCGGGATGGAGGATGGGCGAGGGATGAGGGATGAGGGAGGTGTGCTGCGGTGCTGGACTGGACTGGACAGACTGAGTTGGACTGAGCTGGACTGGCACAGGCCTCCGCGAGCGCTGAGCTGAGCCCTGTTACTGCTATTGCTACTGCTACTGCTACCGCTACTGCTACGGAAGCAGAGTCATGCTCACTGCATTCCTGTAAGACTGCATGTACTCATCATCAGAGGGAAGGACGGAGAGTTGCAATTGCGATGTTAAGCTTACCTTTGGTTGGACCTGTCTCCTCGTACAGTACAGTACAGTACAGGACAATACCTCAGCAGTAACGGCATGCTGTAGCGAGGCAGACCAGCCCTTTCTCGCCCTGTCTCCTACCACCCGGCCGTCTTCCCGCTGGGGAATCTGACATGAGGAGATGACGGTATACCAATACGAAGTAGGTGGTAGTTATTCTCGAGCTGCTCTCGGCATCTATACTCGAAAAGGACCCCTACTCAAAGTGGGCAGTTTGTTCGATGAACCTACACATTGGGGTCAGAGTCCATTGCTGTATCAGTTGGATTGACTGGATGGTTTATGCTATGTGCTGTGGTGCGCATTATCTGACAGGCTCTAACTCCCACTTGAACCTGTCATGCTGCAGATGGGGACTGCATGACAACCGGGGAAGTGCCGTGACGTGGTGAAAGATCGGGTCGACTACCTCAGACCTGACGGAGACTAAAGCGTGCTACACACACGATGCACCATCGCAAGACAATCATAATCATTACACTATCCACAAAGCCCATCTGATCAACATGGTCAAGACTAATCAAACAGAAACAGATCCAGATCCCAACGCCCACGCCGTACCCAGCATGCCGGATGCATCTGCCTTTGCAAACTCCAAGCGCCAATTCCAGCCATATGGACACCAGTTCAGGAGAAAAATCAAAGGACACAGGAAGTCCCAAGTCGGAGGAACACGCTACACAATCTGATGCGAGAAAAAAATAGCTCAGCAACTACCCTTCTTCGTAGTTTTCAACAATCCCAGAATTGAACATGTGAACATGCTACCAGGTATTCAACATATGTAAATCATCATGAGACCCGTATCGCACGACTCAATGCAACCCTCAAACATTCAAGAATGGCTCTTGGGCTGAGACAGGAGGTGCAGACGGCTCATGGTCAGCACGCCCCGGCCGCGAGCACGAGCACTGCCCGGGGTGGTGGTGGTGGTGCTGGCGCGTCCCGCCGAGGGTCGGGTTGTAGAGCGGAGCGGAGTGTGGGAGCGCGCTTTGGTGGGCGTGGGGGTACCTGCAACACTCGAGGCCGTATCCTTGGTAACACTGGGAGTACCCGTGACCTTGGCAAACAGAGTGGAGGCACGACCGGTCTTCTTGAACGGCGAGGGCGAGGGCGCGCTCATCTTGAGGCGCTTGGCGCTGCGCGCTCCCGCACTATCGGCTGGAGGCACGTTTTCGGCATCAACATCCTCCGCCTCGACGGCGGTGCGGTTACGCTTCTTGTGACCAATACCATGGGGAACCCCGGCAATGTCGGGCAAGGAACTAGCGTCGTGCTTCTCCTCCTCAACGGTAGGACGGTTGCGTTTCTTGTGACCAATACCGTGGGGCACACCGGCAATCTCGGGCAGAGGAGTGGCGTCGGAAGGACGCACCTGGCGGATAGTAGGTGTGGTCGCCTCGCTGTTCTTGGTGGTGCTGCCGATCTTGCTGGGGCTGTGGGAGTGCTCCGGGGTCAAGGTAGGTAGAGTCGGGTAAACAATATCAGAAACCACCCGAGAGGCACTTGCAGTGGGAAGTTTCGAAGGGGAAGGCGAGAACACGGTTTCCTCCGGAGCATCCTTCACGCAGGGAGTGAACTCGACGCGCTTCTTGGGAGAGGGAGTGTGCGACGGTTCCTCGGTGGCGTCCCGAGACGAGCCGAACAGCATGTTCGAGCCGAAGTCGGGAGCCGCCACATGGGTGCCTGCCGCGATCTTGAGGGGGTCTTTGGAGAACAGCTGGTGGGGTTGACGGAGGATCGACCGGGGTTGGCTGAAATTGGGAATGTTGCTCTTCAGCCGGGGGTTGAAGTCGGTCTGAGGCGTGCGCGGAATCTCTGGCTGCGTGGGGGCTGGGGAGCGGACCAACGAGGGAATCATCGAAGTGCGAGCAGGTCTCACGGTCGACGCACGCGCCGCCGAGGCTCGGGTCGGAGTCATCAAAGACTTGCGGAAAGAGTGCCTGGGACGCGTGAAACCGGGCTTAGGGCTGTTCAGAGTAGGCAGACGACTGGTCGAGGCGTCATCAGTCTGATTGTGCTTGACGCGTTTAGCTGAAGCAGCAACCGGAGCAGGAGAGGGCCGTGCAACGGAGACCTTGGAAGGCGAAGGCGACTTGCTGTCGGTCTCGTCCAGTCGTGCCTTGGAGTTGGATCTCTTAAGAGCTTTCTTCTCGATGACCGGCTGGAAGCGACCCGGAGCGGCACGGAAGGCCGAAGGATGGTTGGCGATGGAGTCCATCTTCTTGAATTCGGCCATGTGAGCCTCGGTGAAACGGTCGGTCTTTCCCTTGGGCTGCACGATCTTTCTCTCGGTGAGCTCGGGTTTGTCCTGTGCGCCGTTGGCCCGATCCTTGACCATCTGCGCCTTGATCTTCGCAGCGTCCAGGCGCACGCTCTCCATGAGCTTCTTGGCCTCGTCGCTCAGCTGGGCCTCTTGGCTGGCGAACTTGAACTCAAACGCAGGGGTACCATAGTATGCGGACGCGGGGGAATCTCTAGCCTTGGTCGGAGTGCTCTCAGTCGCGGTGTCCTTGACGACGTTGCCCTCGGCGTCCTTCTTGATGGGATTGAACCCCAAAACCAAGCCGGAGTCGGGCTGCTTAGTGGTGCTCTGGTGGACCTTGCTGGGGTGCATATCCTGGTGGGAGGGACGCGCCATGACGGTGGAGGGGGTCTTTGCACCGGGACCCTTCGTCGCCGCGGGTGTAGCCCTAAGCGGGGTAGCAACGCTCGGGATTCTGGAAGGGGTAGTGCCCTTGACTGGCGAAGTCAACTGGGTAATTCTCTTGGGGGTCGCCTCGACTCGCGCGGACGCGGCATTGGGGGTTTTCTTGGGCGTAGCATCGACGCGATCGGACGCGTCGCCGGCGCCCTTCTTGGGGGTCGCTCCGCTCCTGGAGAACGCGGCGCTCTTCATCTTCTTGAATGTCGACTCGGCCTTGTCGAACGCGGCAGTGATGGATCGCTTTTTCGTCCGCTCCGCCTCCGCGGCTGCGGCACGCGTAGATTCGGTTATGGTTTCCTTGGATGCGGTTTCGGGATCCTCGGCTGTAGCAGGAGCCGGCTGAGGAGGCTCAGGTTTTTCGCTGGCGGGAGCAGACTTCTTGTCCGCTACGACAGGGGCGTTGTCGGCTTCGCGTTCAGGTTCGGGATTGGGTGCAGAGCTGTTGACAACGGCGGTCTCCTCACGTTCGATAACTAGGGGTAGATCGGTGGGTTCGTGGGTGGATTGGGATTTCTTCTTGCTCCTCGTGGATCGTTTGTTTGGTTTTGTAGGAAGTTGGTCGTCATGCCGATTGTTGGTGTTGACGTGATCTTTGTTGACGTGACTGTGCTCAGCGGGGCCAGGTGGTGGCTGAGGCTCCTAAGCGGGTCATCCAGTGTCAGTGACCTGAGATGTACAGGGTAGCATTCCACATGCTCTCCCCTCTCTCGGATCAGAACCCTTCATATCGCTGGAGGGTGGGATGCTCGGATGGGCGAATGGCTTACCTCGGACAAGGACACATCGCGATTGCGCAGACGGGCGGACCGCCGGACCGCCATAGTTGCTATATACAATGAATTGGTGATAATATGTGATAAAATATGAGGATGAATGGGGTGCAATCGAGGATACAACAGTGGCAATGCACGAGAATGACGACAAGAGGAGAATTGAAGGCATGGGGTAAAAGGGCGAATAAACAAACCCGCGGCCAGGCGGTGAGCTGACGTCAAAGCTTAGATAAGTGATCACGTGCACGCATGCATCCATCCTCTACACAATTTCATTCTACCACTTGATCTGAATCACTAACAACAGATGTTGGTACAAAATAACTACAAGCCAAAAGGATATGTCTCCTCCATGCCCATCACCGTTTTCGGCTGCACCGTCTCCAGCGGCTTCACCGCCTCTGTCTCATCGAACCAGATATACGCGTCGAACTGCTGCTGCAGGTCCGCCTGCGAGTAATGCGACATGCGCTCCGTGTCCGGCCGATAGATGACGCCGATGAACCGCTCGAGCCGGTGGCTCTCAGCGGCCATGGCCTCCTTGAGGCGGGGACTGATGCGGCCCTCGCGCAGATCCCACACGAAGCGCGGGATGCCCGTGTGATGGGCCACGGACTCCCAGCTATCGGGCCTCGAGGGCCGGACGGCCATGATCTCCATGTCCTCGTCCCACTCGTGGGCGGCGGCGACGGTGCCCGTGTGCGTGCCGCAGCCGAGGATGGCGACGTGCTCGCGGCCGAAGCGCTCGCGACACAGCTGGCCGATGTTGACCTCCTTGCGGCGCGTGCCCATGCTCGTGAACCGCGCATCCCCGCAGTGGGAGTTGTGCGCCCAGACCACGGCCTTGCCGGCCGCCGCGGGTCGGCTCTTCAGGATGCGGCGCAGCGTGTCCACCATGTGCGTGTCGCGCAGCGTCCACGACGAGGCCGAGCTGTAGTACATGGCCTTGTAGTAGCGCTCGGCGTCGCGCACCAGGTACGCGTTCTGCTGGCCGCTGTGGTACTCCTCGCCGTCGTGCACATCCTCGGAATACTCCAGCCGCCGCGCCAGCAGGTCGCGCAGCATCTGCACCACCCCTTGCTCGCAGTCCGCCATGCCGCGCAGCGAGGCCAGCCCGTACGCGGTGGGGTCCTCCACCCACGGTTGCAGGCAGCCGTAGCGGCGGCGCGCGTCCTTCCCCGCGGCCGGGTCGATGCGGTCCAGGTAGTCGATGACCGCCTGGATCGACGCGCCCATGCTGTACAGGTCGAGGCCGTAGAATCCGGCCTTCTGCGCGGGGTCGGTCAGCGTCGCGTTGCGGTTGCGCATCCATTCGACCAGGTCCTGGGTCTCGCGGTTGCGCCACATCCAGGTGGGGAACCGCTTGAAGGGCTCATGCGCATCGTCGTCATCATTGCTGCCCTGTCGGATCCGGGCCTGGGGACCCGGGCGCTGGCGCACGTACCGGTCGACGGATTCCGCGTCGGGCCAGTCGGCCTCGACGGCGACGATGTTGAAGCCGTGGTGTTCGATCAGCCGCTTGGTGATCTCCGCGCGGGCGGCGTAGAACTCCGAGGTGCCATGCGTGCCGTCGCCGAGGAGGACGACGCGGTATTCCCCGAAGGTATCGAAGTGAGACCCAAAACTGGGGTCGTGGATGGCGGGCAGAGGTTGTGCTGCTGCGGTGAAGAGGTCTTGGAATTGCGACATCTTTGGGGTCGGTTTGAACAGTCGGGCTAGACGCCAGAGCTTCGCTGTCATAAGTGAGTGATTCAGCCCATTTTTGGGAATGTGTTTGTTATGACAGATAGTAAGCCCGGAGTACGCGTGGAGCTGATATACTGGAACGCAGTCGGATTAGGGTTCGGCAGCGGCGAAATGAGATCACCACCGGGTCATCGTGACTTGATCTTTGCCACATTCGAGCAATGAACGAGGAGGGTCATCGACGAGTAATATGCTCATACTGAGTACAGTATTAGACGAGCTATAGCTTACAGTAACACTTCTTTTCGATATCGATCCTCCAACCCGCCGATCCCTTCCCAATCCAAAATCTTCACCATCTATACCCCAGACCCCAGACCCCACACTCCACCACTACACACAGTATATCAGAGCCCCCAACCTCCAAAGAAAGAAAAAATGCCCACCCACCCCCAAAAACTAACCGCCTTCATCCGCGCCCAAGAATCCCTCTACGGCCCAATAACCACCATCCCAGACCCCTCGCAATGGAAACCCCCCGCCCAATCCGGCGGCCACCGAGGCCGCTACCTCTGGACCGACGCCTTCGGCGTCCTCAACTTCCTAACCCTACATCGAGAAACCACCAACCCCCAAAACAACCTGCAAGCACAAGCAAAAGACCACTACCTCACCCTGGCCACAAACCTCATCACCACCGTCCACCGCACCCTGGGCACCACCCGGTCCTCGCCCCCGGAACCGCTCCCGCGGGCCACGCCCTCCACCCCCCTCGCCGGCGGGCTCCGCATCGGCAAACCCCACGCCCACGGCCCCGACGGCGACGGCCAATACCACCATTACCTGACGCTGTGGATGTTCGCGCTGAACCGGACGGCGGTGGCCACACGCGACAGGACCTGGAACGATCAGGCGGTGGCGCTGGCGACGGCGATCCATCCACACTTCGTGCGGGGCGGGAGCAGCCGCGGGAGCAGCAGCGGACGTGACCCGCCGCACCACCACCACCAGCAATCCCTCAAAATGGTGTGGAAGATGGACGTCAACCTGGAGGAGGTGTTGGTCGCGTCGGAGGGGAATCTCGATCCCGTGGATGGGCTGGTGGTGTTTCGGTTGCTGCGGGAGACGGATCGGTGGTTTCGAGGAGAGGGCCCCCAGCCCGAAGATGAAGGGGTGCTGGGGGATGAGATTGAGGATTATCGGAGGATCGTCAAGCGGAAGGGGGAGGGGTTCGTCTCACTGGATCCCTTGGATTTGGGGATGGCGATGTGGACGGCGCATTGGGTGGCCGACACTAAAGGGGAGGAGTGGGCGGGGAGGATGGCGGAGGATTGTTGTGGGAGGGTTTGTATGACTTCCTTTCCTTTGAGATTTGGGTTGCGGTTAATGGATGGATGAATGAGTGGGGTGTGGTGCTGATGCTGCAGAAATCAACAGTTGACTTGTTCGAGAGACGACACTACCTTGACCGGGACCTCCGCGCGCGGTTGGCCTTCCGCGAGTTCGGGACGTGCTTGGGCCTCCAATGCATGGCGGCGCAGGCGTCGGATAAAGACCGCGCGGTCGAGCTGAAGGCCTACGCGGACCGCATTGTGGAGTGCTGGGATCCGCACATCTGGATGGAGACGGGGCGCAATGCGACGCCGGAGGAGTTGCGGCCCATCACGCGAGTCATGTATGCCGCGGCTTTGATCCCCGGAGGTGAGTGGTCTGAGTCCTTTGCGAAACATTACCTAGTATTGACATTCGACAGCGTTCTGTCGGGGCTATTTCGGGCCTGAACCTGTTGCTTAACTGGTCAAACAACCAGATAATTCGCAAAATATAATTGCCTGATGCATTGAGGTAAGCGTACTCTACAGAGTCAGTCAACCAGTAGTCAAAAAAAAATGCAAACATGTACAGTATGTATATCAGAGCCCGAGGAAACTCCCCTCCCTCGAACATCCATCACTCTATCAACGCCACAAACATAAAATCACAAAACCCAACCCTCTAAACCCCAGGTAGCCCCACAATCTCCCTCCACGGGATATTCGTCCGAGGGAGAATGTAAATCGTATAAACAGTGCCTAGTGCAATCAGAAGACCCGTTACCTGCAGAGGAAACATTAGCCCAGAAATCCCACAACTCAGAGTGACCGAAAAGGGAAAAGGGAACGTACCTTCTCAAACCAAGTGTGGAACCAAATCGCCGTCATCAACAACATCCACATCCCCAGGCCCACGACCGTCCACGCCAACCGGGCCGACCACACTACGAACACATCCTGCTCGTCAGCATCCCCCTCCTGATCAAGCGCATCCGTCTTCTCCCCCTCTTTCTTCTCCTTCGAATCCGCCTCCTCGCGGGACAGCCTGGCGCCCCAAGCCTCGAACCCAATCAACGAAGTCATCAACACCAACATGAACACATGTCCACTGACATCGTGCCCGCCGCGCCACGCCCCGCCAGCCCCCTTACACGCCACGGCCGTCGCCAGCGTCCCGAAGTCGGTGGTGGTGTAAGGGTTCTCCGCCTCGGGGATTGCCCGCTCGCACTTGCCGCCCGTCAGCACGAAGCTGCGGTCGATCAGCGCGGGCCCGAAGAACCATTGCGTCGTCAGGTACCACACCGTCGTGGCGAGCGCGTACCGGATGACAGCCTGCGTCGTGCGGCGGGACCGGTGCGCAGCAGCAGCAGCAGCAGCAGCGGTGGCAGTGTTGCCGCCCGCGCCGCCGCGACCGCCGCTCCCGGTGTAGGCGGACTGGGTGAGGAGGAGCAGGACGAAGGCGAGAGTTGTCCAGAGCCAGCCGATCTTCACGAAGTAGAGGTTGAAGACGTTGTCCTTGCGTGCGAAATAGTTGACGGGCTTGACGGCGGCGGGAAAGGAGAGGTGCAGGTCCGAGGCGATGGTTGGGGCGAAGGGGGATGGGTGGTTCTGGAGTGGGCTGCTGCTGGCGCTCGGATCACGGCTGCCGTAGGCGGTTGGCGAGAGGACGGAGAAAAGAGACCCCACGATGAGGGTGAGAGGATAGATGAGGAGAGCGGTGATCGGGGGTTGGAGCGATCGTGATGTGGTCGGGCTTGTTGCTGTTACTCCGGCGGGAGAAGGGGGATTGTCCGCGGATGGCATCGTGGTTTTTTTTCCCTTCTGTTGTCCGGGTGATTGCACTCGTCTTGTGGTGTGTTGCTTCGAAAATGTATAGAGGATGAAATAACTGTTCTATCTGAGTAGAATTGGGGAGTGCATGAAATTGAGGGACTTGGGGGACAATTGAATGGAACCAGGTCGATGATACAAAAGGATGATGATGATACAAAGGAAGAGGAAATGCAAATGGCGGAAGTCGGATGACGTCGCTGCCTGCTTGCCTGCCTTTCCGCCCGCCCTAACCAGATTCTTCCAACGACAACCACAACCACCGCCACAGCCACAACAAGCCTGCGACTATTACGCTATCATTGCATTACAATATACACTTGATCTACCGCTCGAATGCATGGTTCACATTGACAGCATCATAGTCATTAAATTCGTGGTCTCTACGACTTGTGAAAAATGTGTACATCATCTCCATCTGCAGCCTCAGGCCCAGGCTCAAAGCCCTTCATGACACCTTCCACCGCTCATTGCACCTTCGGGAGCGCCGCGTGAAGGGGCAGCTGACGCGAAGAGCTACCAACATGGACCTTCTTCGGGTAAGAAGTAATGACCCAATCCTGAGCCGCAACGTCCCAGTTGGACAGATCGCGACGAGTCAGGGTAGTCGTCCACACCGTCTCCTCGGAGGGCTTGAGGGTAAGGCGGTCGAATTTGCGCAACACAACCCTGGGCTCATTGGGCCCACCAAGGGAAACATACTGGCAAACGGTTAGCATGCGGGATTAATACTGCACGGGAGATTTATTACCAGTTGAGGTACAGCATCACCAGCAACACGACCAGTGTTCTTGACTGTCACCGAAACGCGGATCAACTCATCGTAGAGGCGGGGGTTACCACCGAAGCCACCACCCGCAGGCAGAACGGGCTGGGGAGAGCCATCGGTAGCACCCTCGGGGATGTGCTCCGCGGTGTCGACACCATAGTACGGGTCGCCAGATGAGGCCTTGAGGTCGGTGGAGTTCAGCCAGGGGTAGATGAACTTGCTGATTCTGGTCAATCCCTCAGGGTACACATAGTCCGAGGCATTGCCGACTTGTCCGAATGTGGGAGCAGCGCCAGTCTCAGTGGCTACTTGAGCGTTGGATGAAGCGTTGAGAACCTGGATGTGAAGGCCAGAGTAGTTGAAAGTGGTGTAGCTCAGACCATGTCCGAACTCGTAGATCGGGGTCTCATTGCGCTTGTCGAATCCGCGGTAGTCAATGAAAACACCTTCCGAGAAGTCGTCTTGGGGAGCCCCGTTGCCGTTGTTGAGTTCGCGGACAAGGTAATCCCCGTACGCCTCCCTCGTCTTGCCCCAGGTGAATGGCGATTTGGCGCCCGGGTTGACGCGGCCGTAGAGCACATCAGCCAGGGAGTTGCCAGACTCCTGGCCAGGCAAACCGGCCCAGAGGATGGCAGTGACATTGGGGTGGTCATACCACTCGTCGACCAAAACCGGTCCAACGGAGTGGATGACAACGATTGTGTTGTTGCAGTTGTTCGCAGCAGCCTTGATGAGGTTGTCGCCATTCTTCCAGAGGGTGAGGTTGTTGCGGTCGCCCTCATTTCCGTCCACAGAGATATAGCCCTCTCCCGAGTCCGAGTTGACGAACACAAGAGAGACACTACGGAGATAGATGTTAGTTCACTGAAGCATCAGATTTGAAACAGAAAAAGAAACAACGATATGGACGACAGGACTTACCTGGCTTGTTTAGCGAGGGTCTCCACCTGGCTCAGCGCCCAGTTGTCAGTGATGGCATAGACGCTGCCCTTGTGCTTGAGCACCTCAGCTTGAATAGCCTGCTCAGGGGTCACGAGGTATGGGAATTCGGCAGTGCCACTACCCCAAGCCATGGCAAGAGTACCGTTGTCACAGCCGCGGTCAGAGCAGCCATTGGCACCGTACGAGTTGGATCCGGCGTCTTCACCCAGGATCGCAACTTTGCGCTCCTTTCCGGTCAGAGGCAGGGCATTGTTGTTCTTCAGTAGAACAGTGCTGTCGGCTCCCAACTTGCGAATAACCTCGCTGTGGTTGCGCTGCACATTGACAAAGTGATTGACCTTCTCATAGGGACCTTCCTGAGGGTAAAAATACTTGAAGCCGTATTCATCGCGAGTCCAAGAGCTGAAGTTAGGCGGCTGGTACAGGCGGTCGCGGCCAACCTTGTAGTAGGCAGCCATGATACGAACAGCCATGTCGTCAACGCGCCACTGCGGGACGGTGCCGTTGAGAACAGCAATGGTCAGGTTGGTACCCCAGAAACTAGTGGCAGAATCGAAGGTGATATCACCAGGCATTGACATATCCAGGCCGGCCAAAGCAGAACCAACACCACTGTGGTGAGCACCCCAGTCAGACATCACGAAGCCCTGGAAGCCGAGCTCGGCCTTCAGAAGCTTGTTCAGCGTGTAACTGTTCTGGCAGCCGTAGCTGTTGTTGATCTGGTTGTAGGAACACATGATGGCGCCAACGCCTGCGCGAACGGCATCCGCGAAGGGCCAGAGGTACATTTCATGAATGGTCTTGTCATCAACATTCGAGCTGACCGTGTCGGAGATATTGAATCCGTAGCCCGCAGACTCTGAGACCTGGCGGAAATGCTCTTGCTCATTGAGAATGTAATGCTTGGCTGTTGCCACGACACCAGCATCTTGAATACCCTTGATCGTCTCCGCAAAGAGCACGCCAGTAAGAGCCGGGTCTGGAGAGAAACCTTCCCAGTTACGACCTCCATCAGGACTCCTGCCGAGGGGACCCGCGGCCGGGCCCAATTGAACATCGATTCCTTTGTCACTAAATTCTTGACCCATAGCCTGGCCACGGAGATAAGCCAGGTTCTTGTCCCATGTCGCAGCAACGTTGACACCAGCAGGGAAAGCCGAATTGTAGTCACCTGTAGGACACATTGTTAGCAAGAGTGTCAGCGGCCGGGCTCGAGTTAGATCAAGTCTTACTGTCACGAATTCCCAATGGACTGTCCTGGAGACACATGCCACCGATGTTCAGTCTAGACAGCAGGCGCCAGTTAGCCGACTAGAAACAAGTTCATTTTTGAAGGGTTCTACCTTGGAACACCACCAGTCTGACCGACACACTTCTCCAGCTCCCATCTAAAAGCTCGTTAGCAGGCGACTCATCTCGCGACAATTGTGGTGTCATTACCCAGTTCCGGTGGTAAGGTTGACCTTCTCATCCAGAGTCATCTGGGAGACAATGGCCACTGCACGCTGGTAGGCTTCCGCCCACTCTCCCTGGCCATTGGCCCAAGGGGAGGGATAGAATGGAGGAGAGAATGCCAATTCATCCTGTAGAGCACGACTCGTCAGCCTCAGGTTAGATCTCTAGAGGCATCGAGGACGCAGAAAAAGCAACATACAGCGCTGACGACAGAGGCAGCCGTCAAGGCAGCCGCCTCAAGCCAACTGAGCTTCATGATGGCGTAGAGGTAGCTGAAGAAAGAGGAAACAACGAGCTAGCCAGCCACACAGCTTGCACTCTCGAGAATTTGAGAAAGATGTCGAAGTAGTACAAAGGTGGAAGGACAAACAAGGCCGATCAGGGGGGGAAAGGGAGGAGATATAAATAACCCCAGCAACGAAGAGAGGGGGGCGCCACAGCTATGAGAGAGACCAGCGACGGTGAATAAAATCAATCAGAACCTCTTGGCCTATTTTTTTGCGGAGCTACCCACTCAGGAGTGAATTGATGTCTCGCAAACAAGAAGTCAAAGTAAGCAAGCACCTGGTCGGCCATGGACTGGGCGAGCGACGAGTGGTTCCATTCGCTTAGCTCTGAGCATGGGGATCGACAGGGAGGAAGCCAAATCGAGGAAGAGACAGGCGGCGAGGGAGAGAGCATGGAACGGTCGGAACTCAGGCAAGTCGAGCGATTGTATTTGCCGTGATTCACTAAGCTGGGGAGGAAGCTGCTGCTGCTGTTGCTGCTGCTGCTGCTGCTCCTGCTCCTGCTCCTGCGTTCATGCACTCGGCTCGGCAGCATGACCTGCACACCGTATAACACCCCGACTCAACGAGGAATTTCTCATTCTGGCGATGGTTCGCAGCCGAAGCGCAGAAAAGTCAAGCGGAATGACCGAACCCCACACCGACAGAGTCCAGCCATCTGGGGATGACGGAATGAGGTGGATGGAAGTACTGCAGTTACAGTCCAAGGGACTACACTATACTAAACAGAAAGTTTACTACTGACTGGCTGGTAAGTTACCGCTGGTACCGCTGTGGGGCATCCACTCGGCCCTGGTAACCTTGGGGGGTAATTCCGTTACGCTATACGGGCTGTTTACACTCCGATCCCTTTCCCCAACTCATCCTCCCTGACATGAACCTCAAACTGCCCTATGTGCGATGATATCTTTCCGGCAGGCCAGCAGAATGCAGTCAGTCGGGAGGTGCCTGACATTCTTGATTGAAACCAAAATATAAATAAAAACTTATCACTCGAGCCAATTCTGGCGCATTCCGATCAGCTTCGGGACACAATCGGCTGCGGTACGGGATACAGCTCAATTACGGGGGTTACAACTCTCGGTCAAATAGCGGACTTGGACGACGCCCAAGAAGCTTGGTAGCAGAATGAGATGGAAGGTAGTATTGCTTTCAATTGACAATTGACAACAAGTCAACAGCTGTTCCCCGCATCGTCATGGTCCAGCAAGCAATGGCTGACTATAGTTGAAGATAGTATAAGTTAGTCGACTAGTGGAATGTTACGGTACCGTCTCCCCAGCCATTCCCCGCATTTCCACTTCTGCATCCCGCTTGTTGGTCAGCCGCCCGAGGAAAAGAAGAGGGGAAAGAAACCTGGAAAAAGAATCATCTGGGAATAGATTAATGAATCCCTGATGCGGTAATGCGGTAATGCGGTAATGCGGTAACTAACAAGTCGACTCCCATTACATCGTGGTCCGTCCTTGGACCTGCCAACAGAGCAACACAAACAGAACACTGCCGAGGGGTCAACAACAACACACTGACCGTGCAAAAAAAAATGTCACGCTTGTTTATCCCGCCATGGCCTGACGGCGCCTTACATCCTTCGCCCGCAAGGGTCAGCCCATAGAGCCACCACTCCTTCCGTCGCAACTTGAAGTCAAGACATTCATTCCATCCCTCTCTCTCCCAGTCAAGGCCAAGTCGGACTGCTACTCACCTGCTCGGGTCCCCGTTGCGAGGCAAAGAGCGGCAAGAACTCCGACGGGATTGTGTATGGCCTCCACGATTAAGTCGTGGTCTCCCTCGGGATATTCTCTTCATCCCCCCGGAAAGTGGAACCTCCTGTCCCTCGCTGTGCCTTGACTGGTCTTCTGCCTTGGATCGTCCCCCATTCTTCCCCAATCAAGGCTCTCGGCAGTCGGCATTGAGACTGCATGGATTTCTCATCCATGAGTCAGTAACTAACTATACGTACGGTACGGGCTGACGACATTTCCCCGTGGTTTAGCCAGATCCAGGGTTAGCTTGGGAATTCTCTCGAACTCGGCCTGGTGCACTCGTGAGAGGATGTAGAGTATCTGGGCTGAGGTTATTCCCGGTGCGCATTGACTCCGAGCAGGCCCAGCCAACATCAGGTTTGCAATGAGATGTGCTATTGCCTTCCCAATCGATTAGAGGGCAGCGATGCAGGCAATGCGATCATATTAGCCTATTCAAAGGGATAAAGACCCGACATTTTACCCAGACAGTCTGAGAGGTAGACCTTCTCTCGCAGTTCGTCGAAATTTCCCTGTCGGATACCCTGCAGTTTTGAGCTCGGTCCGCGCAGGGAATTTGGGGCGGGCTGGGCTGGGCTGGGGTTGCGGGGAAAGCCTCCGTGGGGGTTTGTTTTTTTTTTTTTCTTCCATCATCGTCATCCCGAAGACCACGATTCCGGGACCAAACAGTCCCACACTAAGCGACTAACCAACAACCCGAGGGCTAGACACAATTGTCTAGCACTTTCTAGTCACACAAAAGCCGTACATGCACTTGGAAAGTGGAGAGTATTTCTCCGTTTCTCCACATAGCCTCTCTTCGTATTCTGGCAGGAAAGCGATCTAATGTGGCACTACCTGAGTACTCCGTATGTACTCCGTACTCTGCCCCCCTCGTGGACTGTCCAGGGTTCTCCGCTATCGCCTGATACCCCGGAACGCGAATTCCCCCGCGGGCAGGACACCACCCCGGCCGATAGCGGACCCGGCACCGGAGGGTTCATGCTTGCGATGAAGAGACCATTGCTGCAGCGCAAGTGGTTAGGAACAAATTATTTCTGTGCTTAGTCGAGTCATTGAACTGTTCATATGGTCATGGTTTCTATGGTAGCTTTGAATGGCATAGAGGTTAGCTACTGCCATTGTCGGTTGTCCAGAGACTATAGACCTCCGCGGTATACTCCCGGGGCCATTTTGATAGCAATATCGAGTATAGTAAATTGGCCCATCGTAAGCGACAACACGCACATCTCTTCTTTTTCGCGTAGGCACTCTCGCAACCTTGTAAGACTCGGCCACCATCATACCTAGAACCCAATCCTATCTCCCACCCTCAAGATCTGCATCTAAGATCAGAAGTAGCCAAACCCATGGAAGAGGCAAAGAAGCAACAAAACACTTTGCATCTAACCACAAACACACAACATGACCAATAACCCAATCCAGCACCGTTCAAATCCACCTCATACTGTACCGAAACCCCTGCACTCGCAGTCATATCCCGAGCCTTCTTATCATGAGCCTAGGCCAAAGACCGTCCCGTAGAACACACCGATGTGAAGTATCCAAGCACAAACAACACCCAGGTATAGTCCACTGCAACCCGTGCCTTTCCCCGAGAATCAGCCCCAGCCAACCAACCGACTCCCCGAGCCCTAGCATCGGCATCCCTCCCCTCCCCTTCTTCGGGGATCTGCAGCCCTCAGGGCTCAGGTGACTTGCATCTCGGGCTCATTCGCCGAGTTCTTCCTCCAGCCTGGTGCAATGCAGTGCAGCGCAGCCTTGCCGTCCCATGCACCATGATCTTCCCCCGATGTCTTTTCCTCCCGACTCGTCGGAGTCCCGAGAAAAAAGGCGTCGTGGCGCTAGAAGATGGCATCTCGGTCACCGAGGAGTACAGCAGACAAGAGACCTAGACAGTACCTGATGGAATGTGCCCCTTTCCCCCCCCCCTTCTGACCTTGTTCTATTCCTAGCGCAGTCCAACAACCTCGTTTTCCAGGCGCGGGAGCTTTCTAGTTGCGGTTCAGATGCTATTTATCTAGCCCTGTCGCTCGATTTGCAGGTTGTATCTTAAACATTTTATTGAGATAAGGTTGGCCGCGGCTGCTGCGCTACACAGTCCACCTTAAATTGCATCCCAGGCTTGCAAAGGCGGAAGGTTTGTATGAGAAAGCATACCGGCAAGGTATCATTTGTCTTGATACATACCCTGTGTGCATATTTTAGTGGGTCAGCGTAATGGAATGTGTCCCTTCCCCCAAGATTCATTCTCCTCTAGGATTTGATTTTTGAGCAGGATGTCTCTAGTACTCCGATTCTTGATGGCATGCTCTGCCGGTTCTTAATTTCCTGAATCCGAATATCCTCCACCAGGTGAACCTTGCGGTACTATAGGTCACATGACATTAGAGCATGTCACTCAGCCACACTGCTTGAGCGACAGCCCTTCTGGCCGCTGTACTACTTAGGTATGCACTCAAGAGAGCGGAGTGAGCTTTCAGGATGTTTGCTCTGTGAATGAAAACGACACACTAAAGCAACCGTCTTTTACTGGGGATTTGAGCTTCAAACCAGCACAAGATGAACAGAGAAAAGAAGCCGAATATACACCGCCGATTTGTCCCCCACAAAAAAGGAAGCCAATACCGGCGCCCTCAAAAGACCTGGAAGCATGTAGTGAGAGCGAGCAACACCATGATGAGCCCTATGTACTCGAGCCCAGAAGCTCGCTACTTCTTTCTTCCAGCAGCTCCATCCTGGACCGCTTCATTGCCTTATGGACCTTACTGGCCATGGTAGTAGACATCCACCTGGGAAATCTCGTCCCCAATACTATTCGAGACCTGGAGACGGGCAATCGTCGGGGTTGCTGTGCCGATGGGTAATAGAAGCCCCAGCAGGCTTGCAGAAACCATGGTGCATTCGTGGGGTGTCTAGGGATAATTTCATAATCTAATACTGACAACAAGCACGTCAACGCAGCACTCGGACCCCTGGTCATGATGTACCGCATCCTCTGACTTGAACAATAATGGCGAATACTGCGCCATCCTGGTGGCGATCAACTCTATACTGCAGATGGTCCTTTTCGCCCCGGTTGCGATTCTCTTAATTCGCATCATTGGCGGATCACATCGGCACGAATTGACGATTGACTATTCCCTGGCCGCGAAAAGCATCGGGGTATTCTTGGGGATCCCGTTGGGAGCAGCAATTGTCAGCCGCATTACCTGCGCTTTTGGAGTAATAAATGGTACGATGAGCAGTTCCTGAAGTGGATCAGCCCGTTGGCCTTGATCGGGCTGCTCTTTACGACTCTGCTGCTGTTTGCTGCTCAGGGAAAGCAGGCGGTGCGCCAGATCGTTTCTGTAGCCAGAGTGGTGGCGCCCCTTGCAGTTTACTTCTCGGTGAGATTTGCGGTCACGCTCGCCGTGACACGACGATGTGGCTCTACATACCGGCCGTCGTGCACACAAAGCTTCACTGCGGCAAACAATAACTTCGAGCTGACGATCGCGGTGCCAATTGCCACATTTGGGGTGGAGAATAATCAGGCGCTGGCTGCTACCATTAGGCCGCTGATTCAGGTACCGGGGTTGTTGGGATTGGTGTATGCAATTCGGTGATATGCCAGGAAGCGGAGGTGGGAGGCGCAAATCCTAGACTCGTTTCTGTTCCTCATTCTGATATAATAGACCATAGAGCCATCCGTGCCAGCTAGGGAGCCAACCCCTGAGGTTGGCTGTAGATGTTAGAGAGGCAACTTAGTTGTTGCTAATCTCGTCAAGAACCTGGAACAGAATCCGGTTCTGCACTCTGCACCCCTCCTCCGTGGTGAGGCCCTTGGAGAAGCCCTCCCAGAGCTTGCGTCTGATCTCGTCTAGCTCGACACCCCGCGTGTTGTACTGTGTTATGAGTTCGTCGGCGATGGCGCAGAGAGTGGTATTAAGGACATCTCCACTATTACTATCTGGCCATGACGTTCCGCTTTCGTCGGGTGAGCAGCCACAAACTGACTGGCCGTGGGATTTCTCTCGATTATTCTTCATCGGTTGACCGGGGAGGTCGACGGTAGACTCGCTCACCTGATCGACCGGCTTCGAGTCTGGGGGTGGCGATACTCCAGCAGTATCAGGAGTGGTCTCAGAACGACAAGTCTGCTGGGCACGGCCACGACACGATCGAGCCTTCACGCCAGACTGCGAAAGACTTGGAATGGCAATCTTCTGCGTTGGGCTTGGGTCATCCACTGTCTTTTTTAGATACTCCTCGATCGCATTGGATGATATGCCCATATCCGACAGTAAACTTCTTAGTCTCCGATTCTCTGCGTCGAGACCTTGGACCGTCAGTCGGTGTTCGACATCCTTCTGACGGACTTGCTCCTGTAGGGAGATTAGTTTCTGTTCTAACTCGCGAGTATGCGCCTGCTTTCTGGCACGGCTCCTTCGTTGGTTCTCTCTGATACGTGCAAGTCTGTCTGCAACCTGCGTGTGATGTTTGGTCAGAACTGTAAATAGCTTGACAGAGCGGGCACGGAGTGCTAGAAACCTTTGGAGGCGATGGCGAGTCCATTCTGCAGTGAGTCGGGGTTTGATGTCTGAGCAACAGAGGATTATTAGGAGCCAAGCAGCATAATTCGACAACCCGTGCGAGGAGCTAGGGAGTAGGTTCATATGCAATCGTGATGCAAGATTGTCCCTCACTGCGTTACTGGCAGAAACTGGATGCCGTAGTCGCCCCGTGCCCGCGGCCTCGGGGTCCATTGCCCAATTAGGACGTCTAGGGCGAAGGAACCGGGAGGTCTGGAACTCGTCAGTCTGAAAGATTGAAACGAGATTAGGGATTGACACAAAGCCACTCGATGACCGACCCACCGACTGGAGGTCATAGCTCAGAAACTTCGGTACGATATCAGATCAGATATGGGAGCCCTTTAGATCTGGATTTTGGGGGATTATGTGTGCCCATCCAAGCAATGTAGTGCCAATAATATAGCACAGTGTACAGTACATACGTTGTATACCAGATACCATGAATCAATTGTGAAGAAAGGTGTGTCTGCTGCCCACACCATGTTCAGGATCCTAGACGTCGATAGCTTCTCCCAATATGAATATGACAGATCCAGCCGCAAGACATCAATGGAATGATTCCATGGAACAGACATAGAAGCCGCGACGAAGCTATGAGTGGCTGCAGGTCTGCATGCAATCTGCCCGACGTCACTAGCCGCCCTCGGGGTCAACCCATTCATCACTTATCGTTCATTCAAAGAGCTCTCAATCTCCATCCAACCTCCTCAATTCCATCAATTGACGACGACGACGACGACCACCATCCTAGCCTCCACCTAGCACTTCCTCCTCCTCATCTCCCACAACACCAATATTATATCCGAATCGACACCAACCAACCAACCAACCATGGTCTCAACCCGCCATCACCCCGACGATTTCCCACCACCTCCAACCTCCCCAACCCCAAACACCAACACCAACGGCAACAACAACAACAACAACACCCCCCAAAAATGGGTCCACACCCCTTCGACCCCGATCACGCTGTGGCTTCTGTTCTCCGTGCCCCTCGTCCTCTGGGACGCGGGCTACGTCCTCCTCCGCCCGCACTCCATGCCGGGCCACAGCCTGCACTCGCCGCTGTGGACCCCCTACGCGCTGTACGGCACGATCGACTACATCTACGGCTGGCCGGCCTTCAACGCCCGCAACGGCTTCACCGCCGCGCAGACCGTGCTGAATCTGTTCGAGAGCACCGGCTACCTCTACTACCTGGCCGTCGTCTACCGCCACGGCACCAGCCTGACCGCCAACGGCCGCGGCGGCCAGCGCCACCCGCACAAGGGCGTGGGGTGGTTCCTGCGCGAGACGAAGGTGGTGGCGGGGCGGACGGGCGCGCTGGCGTTGCTGGTCGCGTACAGTGCTTCGGTGATGACGTTGGGGAAGACGATTCTCTACTGTAGGTCTCGCTCACCCTTCCCCCGCTTCTTTTTCACCTCTCCGAGGGCTAGGGGGAGGGGGGAGGTTGATAGGGTGATCGATTGCTGATTTTGATCTCCAATTCACAGGGTTGAACGAGGTGTTCTCCGGGTTTGACAACATCGGACACAATGATTTCTGGACGTTGGTCTTCTTCTGGATTATTCCTAAGTAAGTTGATCTCCCCCCCCCTCTTTCCAAACTTATGAATGGGCTAGAAGGCTGATCAGTCAATTGCAGTGGTCTATGGATCGTCTTCCCCAGCTATAACATCTATATCCTTGGAGTGGAGATCGTGGCAGCTTTGGAGACCTCGGTCCCGCGGCAACGGGTCGGGCGACCCAAATCTTCGTAGGCTCAGTTGGCCCAGCTGGATGTGAGAGTTGAAGAGATGCATTTGATGGCAGAGCCTCCAGTTCTAGGTTAGGGCTGTGTAGGGTTGGGATAAGTGATTGCGGGCAAGTATATAACCAAGTCCAGCATGGCATCATTCTCATCATCCCCTAGCGATTCCTATTTGAACACTTCAAGTGAGAATTCCTGGAACCTGGAAGGGCCTAGATTTCCACGACTCCCTATCGATGTCTTGGTGTTTCTAGATGATGGTCTTGAGGCCCTCAGAGGATTCTCTTACCCAGCACCTCTCCTATGTACGTACTGTACCCTATGTATCCTTCATGTATGGTACTGTTACTAGCTCCCATCTCTCATGCAGACCGAAAGAATAATTTTTACCATGGAAGGGGCGACACTGCCAGGGGGCTGTAGTTATTAGTATACCTCTTTCCTCCAGAAGAAAGAATAATGCAAGAGACCTATCCACGGCGGACTGTGCACCTGCAACCTGCCACCTGCCACCTGCCACCTGCCACCTGCCACATCTACTGGGCGTCCTATCCGAAGGTTAAGCGAGGGCCACCGTTCCTTATCTCGTAGGACTGCAGCGCCCGACATGACAGGCGAAGATCGCACCGTTCCGGTTGATCTCAGTTTCACTTTGGGGTCTGTCCCCGGGCCGCCGGCGAGTTTGACGTCTTCCCTGTAGGAACGAAAGACAACCAGCCCACCACTTCGATGCGGACACGGTGACAAAGCAAATCGTAGAGCTTGTTGGTGCCTGGTGCCTGGTGCCCTGATAAGATAAAGACCGATCAGCATCAAGGTACCAAGCACAGCCCTCGAGATTTTCGATACTACTCTCTGACAGTGTTCCCTCGTCTCGCTCTCTTCGCCTCTTTCTTCTTTCGAAGGCGCGGGCCGAGATAAAGCGGGGACCATTCCAGTCCCAATGTTGTTTCGGGTGGTGGCCAAGGCTTGGCGAAGCCGGTCTGGCACCTTGGTATACAGTAGTAAGTTACTAAGTTAACGTTAGTTACCCTCAGGTATGCCCGTGGGCAGGGTTGAAAATGCTAACCGCGGTGATGGGCGGTGAGCGAGTTGCTTGCCCACTGAGGCCGCTACGACGCATCAATCTAGTTTGACATAACTAATCATCTGCCAACCTCTTGAACCAAAGTAACTTCTAACAGTCCTTCAACCATTTCGACCTCCATAGAAAACACAACATAATCCACCTAGCCTCTCATGTTGGTGCCGACTACAAATGACAGTCTTTGAGTTCTCCTGGTCAGATCAAAACAGCTATACAGCTTCCGCAGAAGGGCATATATTGATAATCCATTCCCGCTGAACCTGTTCTCTTAGCTTTAACTCACTTATGCCTATTCTATGACCGGTGTTCTTGATGACAGCATCACCAAAGCAGGTATAATTCAGTCTGTCTTCCTTCTCTTCACTTCGTCATCCTTGGCCTGACTCAAAAGTGCGCCCCTCTCCTCTGCATCTATACCGTAGGGTGTGTTTCGCAGCCAGAGAAATCCACGCAACCAATAGGACTGCGGTTAAAGGCACACTGATGACGAAATAAATCCAGACTTCCTGGCGATTATCCTGGAAACTGAACATGTTCGTTGAGAATAGCGTGGCCACAAATGCCCCTGGGAGAAAGACGATGGTGATGACTGACAACGTCTTCATTGCTTTGGAGTCCCGGAGACCTTCCCTCGCTAGCCTGGACTGCATATTATTGTCAAATTGAGCGATCAGACCGTAGAGCTGTCGATGGATCAAAGCACATCAGTCAGATGATTCTCATACAGTGATTTGGAAACAACGCCGTGGTTCTGGCTATGGCGATCAAGCGGGCGACTTTACCACGTTGCGTTGACTCTCCACCTTCAACGGGAGGGTCTGCATGTCGAACTCGCGACTCTCTGACAGTGCAGCAAGGATTGCAATTGTCCTCATGGCTGTCTCATTTGACTTGGTGTGTTTCTTCAACCGTTCCCCGAGCTCTTTCTCGAATCTCCATCTCTGACCTAATTCGACGAGTTGCATACTACATTCATGCAGCGTCTTACTGAGCAGGCGGTGTGATTGCCTTGCATCATCGGGCTTGCTGATTCCCTTCAGCTCCTTAAGTAATCCGGCATCCACCTCGCGCAGGGTCCGGAGGATTTTCTCAAAGGTTCGTGCAGTGAACTCAACGTGCGCTTTGTAGAGCTCGACCGGCAGCAACATCGGATAGATCTCGGAGGCTCCTCGGATCGTCGTATGGACTCGTTGGAAGTCAAAAGCCTTATCCGCCTGAATAACGCCTGCTATCCGGCAGAAAGAATCACGACCCGCCGAGTTTGGCTCGATGTAGAGAACCACAGACCAGAAGCCTGTGTGGTAAGAGGGCGTTTGGATAAGACATGCTGGTCAATCTAGTGAGTGAGTGTTGCTTGGCTAAGGAGGAGGAGCGTTTCCGTACATATCGCTTCTTTACTCTGAGTGGTCGATGAGAAGAACTGGCATGTTCCTCCTTCGGTCAAACGAGCATAAGAACAGTCCGTCGTGGTGGTGCTGAGCCGGAGCCAGAAGAGAACCGAATCGAGATCTTGGCAGATGCCGCGCGACGGATGCCCGGGGCGGCCGGTACAAGGCGAAACTCGAATATAACAAGGCTGGCAGGCTTCAAAGTCTTGGGTCTCATGAGTCCATGTAAGATTGGGACCAATTCGACTTTCACCGAGCTTAGGGGGCTTGGACGCCTAAGGGGCCTTTGGTGGTTCCACTTGGTCATCTCACATTACGCTATACCCCAAGTCCGCGTAATGACTGAGAAGCCAAGGATCTGAGAGAATTAGAGAGTTCAAGGCTGGAGTGAGCTAACTATATAGGTCTCTTGAATCATGCGTCAAACTATTGAAAAGTAACGACCTTACTGACAAGGTATGGTTGTCATGCGGGCGCCTAACTACTGTGACCAATAGCTTCGCTGACCTGCGCTGTAGCTCTGCAGGCTATTCTCGCATATTTTCCTCTTCTGCCCCTCTCTTGAAATCCGATAAGATCCTGTTGATGGCCCTGCTTCTCTCATCGAGTGCCTGGCAGATATCATTTGTCAAAGCGTGTTCCGGGCCACCCAACCAAGAGGGCTCCTCTCAATTATGGTCTCCCAGAACTGATTCGCACTTTAACCCATGGAAGCCTCCTTGTTTGCCTAATAACCAAGATAACTGACGGACACTAACAAGATCAACAAGATCAGAACACTCCATTGCTCAAGTCCGATCTTTACCATCTGTCCTGCTACAAATGAAAAGCTGATGAAACAGGGCGGAAACGAATAGTAGAACGCGGGATATCCAAGGCAGCACAATCACTCTTATGACGTCTCTATAGTACCTAGTATCAATTAGCATCATTGGTCTAGTGGTAGAATTCATCGTTGCCATCGATGAGGCCCGTGTTCGATTCACGGATGATGCATTGAGTATCTCGTTTTCTTTTCATCTCCGGATGTTTTATTTCGGGTGGAATCAAGACGGTTCCTCTCTAGTGATTGAAGTCGTCCTCTCGTTTTTTTTTTTGTTTTTTTTACCTTAAAAAAAACAAAGGCCACTTTTCACAGCCCAGTGTCGGCACCGGTGACATGAATCGGGTCTCTCGAGTCACCCATACACCGAACATCTCAGTAGTGTCGGTTTTCCTAGGATCATGACCCACCCTCAATGCTATCGGACTAGTCCTCAGGAAGGGCACACCAGTCTAATAATATCGCGAGTATATATTCCTGGTATATAGCACCTACATAATACATTTCAGAGTGACGGGGCATAAAAGCATCACCTCCACCATGCAACCAGCCATCCTTAACTCATGGCACTTTAACTCCGGTTCTTTCCTTCCCGAATACACAAAACCGCCGGTTCAACCAAAGGAACAATCAGTCGCCAATGTACGAAGATGAAAAGTAAAATTATCAAGGGCCAACTGCACGAGTCAGAAAGAAAGATGCCACACGGCATGCCAGATGATCAGGCATGCGAGCCGCGATTCGTCCCCAGTCCCATGTCGTACGCACCCATGGGCATAGCACCTGCACCCCCGAAGCCAGAGAGATCAGGTCCGCCAACAGGATTGCTGGTCGGCCCCCCTGGCTGTGCTGCTGGGTCGAGGTTGACCCCTGCTCCGGCACCGACCGGATCGAGGTTGAATGGAAGGAACCAGGCACTTGGTTGATAGTATTCCCCTGCCCCGGATGGCGCGTTGGGGTCTATCTGCCCGGTGAAGATAGTAGAAGTCGGGTCCTGGGTAGGAGGCATGTCAGGTGGCACCGGGGGCATAGCTGGCTTGTCAGGTGCCGGAGGCACAAATGCCGCGGCAGCAGGATCAAATTCGCTGAACGAGCCATACACAAACTGCCGATCGAGCTGTGGGAGCTGATCAGCAGCCGGCATGGGAAAGTCGAACGTGGATTGACCGAACGGCGGTTGTCCATTGCGGTTGTTAAACATGGCGGGTTGAGGGAAGCCTGTTCCAGTGGTGCCTAGCATTCCCGGTGCACCCTCCATAGTCACCTCACCCACTGACTGTGGCGGTGTGGCTTGGTCAAAGCCGGCGACACTGTCGCTTTTGCCGCTTCTCTTCGAGGATCGGCGTGGCATAGTGGGTTGTGGAGTGGGGGACAGGCTGGCGAAGAACTCTTCGACGCTTTGAAGGTCGGGTCTTTGGCTCATTACTCCTTCGTCGTTCTTTGACTTCGCCTTCGGGTCGGGCTCCTCCCAGTGAGATCTCGACATGCCATGAGGGTACTTATCGAACCAGTCGCCATACTGGAACATGGGAGTGATCTGCCCACCGTTCTGCGTCAATACAGTACCTTTGATAGCAGCGTCTGCAAATTGTCGATACCGATCCTTGGCGCTCTCGACCATATAATGGAACATACCCCAGTATTTCTTCATCTTGTTGAGGTAACGATATGTGTGACGTAGGTTCTCCTTGGACCGTGCTTCCAGCTGTGCGTTCTTGGAGAAGATTCCCCAGATATGAACCGTACTGGCGGAATATGCACAGTATCCGGCAAACGGAACTGTCAGAGGATAGGCCGAAGCACGGTCAATCAGCACGGAGATATGATGAGCTGCTTCTACTGCGGCACGGCCAGCGTTGCTCAGGAAGACCTTGGGCATGTCCCGCGGTGGTCGCCCGCCTGGGGATAGTGGAATGGCGAACTGGTTCAGGAACAGCATGTTTTGGTGAATAATGATATGCAGAAAGAGAAACTGGTTCGCAATCCGATCGGCTGCGTGGATCTGAAGATTTTCATAGTTGAAAGAGAGATGGCTGGGGAGTGATGCGGAAAATTCCTCGATCTGTCGCTTGAGGCGCATGTAGCCAGATTCAGGCGACCACAGCGGTTGTGTGTCTCTTCGTTTACCTCCTAGGTTCAGATAGTCGACTATGCGTCCCCAGATGACAACAGCACGGATAATGTAAGCCGATACTCCCATATTGTCTCGAGCGTTGGATAATTGGCCCACATCGTCGGGTACTGGGTTCAAAACAACGCCGTCTAGATCTTCGGTTGGTCCTGGGATCTCCATCTGGAAATGCGTCTCTTTGATCGGGAGCTGGATCTGCAAGAATTTCTCGTTACCAATGGGCGGACGCTGGCTCCCAGATGAGTTATATCGATCCATTAGAAAGCAAGCCCACATCGTTCGTCTTCGGATCTCACGGTCAGTGAAGCTGAGCTGCTGGGAGCCATTGCCATTTTTCTGAACAAGTAGAGGGTCATATTCGAGCTCCCGGTGCAATTGTAGAGCGTAAGCCATGCGCAGTGCTTGTCCGCCAAACGACCAACTCCGGCCGCCATGACAGGTACCAAATTCGTGAAGCCCCAATAACAAGAATACCGTCAGGATGGTAATATTTGGTTCGTCATGGCGACTCAAGGCGATCGCGGCGGCGGGGTTCGCCCAATTCTCCCCGCGCAAGAAGGGCGGCTCGGAGTTGATCTGCGGGTGCGTCGAAAACCGCGCCGACACGGCACAGACCGCTAGGATGAGCACGGGCGGTACCGTCCTCGCCTTGAGCCTTCGCATGAAGCTGGGTTTGTGAAGCAGTAGATAGGATTGGCCATAGACGCAGTCGAAGAATACCTCCGCCAGATGTTCTTGAATCTCCAACGAGGGCAGGAACTCGGCCCCCTCCGTCATCAGACCCGAGGCATCGCCGGGCTTACTCTCCCGGCGCATCGGAAAGGTGTCCTGCGGTCCTTCGCGACTGCCCCGGCCCCATTCATCCAATTCCGCCGCGAAGGCTTCCTCCGCCGTGCGCTTCTTCTGCGCTTTCGAGGTCTGTCCTGGCTGCGGGGGCCGGACCACCGACCGACCAATCGCAGCCATGTCTCTCGTTTCTTCCTTCGGGATGGTCTTGATCACCCGGTCCTCCATGCGCTTCAGCCGCTTGTCGAGCATCGCCATGTAGTCGGTGCGGGGGGCCGCTTTCCTCGTGGTAACCTTGTAGACGCAGGGAATCCGGGAGCGCGAACAATGCTTGCAGGCGGGCTTCTCGCCGGAGCATCGGATCTTTTTACGTCGGCAGGCGATACAGGCCAGAGGTAAGCGCTTGCGCTCCTTCCCGGCCTTGGTCTTCATCTCGCTCCATGCGGGTTTTTCACTCTGTTGTGCGTCCGGGTTGAGTGCGGAATCCCCGGGGGGATCATCTCGATGCGAATCGTTCCCAGATTCCTGCAAGAAATTGGAATCTCCAGGTGCGATGACACTGCCGGGATCACGCGAGCTGGCGGGGCTGTGGGTGTCGAGGTCTTCGGGGAGAGTGATGTCGTCGGGGCCAAAGGCCAGGCCAGTGGAGGCCAAAGGGGAGTCGTCGGACTCGGGAGCCATCATGATGGGTGCAGATACCCCAAGGACCAGACCCGGATCATCGTTTGGCGGGTTGGGACTTGTGGGTGAAGGAAGACGGGGCCACAGGGTCTGGGGGTGGTAGTTGTGGGGGTGGTTGCTGCTGTAGTGATGGGGTTCTGCGGACGACGGGCTGAAACCGAGAGATGGCGGTGGTGGTGGTGGTTGTGGTGGTGGGTGTGGGTGTGGGTATGGGGAAATCGAACTGGCAGGGTCGCTGACTGGTTGCTTGGCGTGACTGGCCGCCTTCATCCTTCCTCACAAGTTGGCCGATTACTAATGCCCAATGGCTCCAAGCTCTTTAGCAGACTGGCTAAAATGTTGGCATGAGAAGGGGATACGGATACACCGGTTGGTAAGAGCCGGGAGAGGCGTCCATTTAACCCGACTAGTTATATTTTTTTGGTGAGTTTGACGGTTGCAGAGTCAAGGTCCCGTGCAACCTCGCTGCACGCCTTTAAGCCATTGCCTCATGGGCGGGCCGCTCCGGATGATTCATGAATCACTGTCACCTACATGTCATGTACAGTGACCAAGCGTCATGGATGTCGGCCCCAATATTTAGAAGATGTGCAGGTACTCTAGGTAGGTATATGTCGATAGTATATATCTTTGAGTGAGATATGACTAGTATAATAGTCAATCTTCCGGTATAGTTCGGGGCCCCGGTTGATCCCTGCAGCAGCAGCCTTCCCATCTAGTTCCGAGTGGGGGACGAACGAGAATGCCCCGCAAAGTATGGAGTAAGCTCAGCATACTCGGACTGGACAACCAACCC